TGATAAAGATCTTTCTCAGCTCTGAGAGTTTGTATAGAAGATGACAATGTTCATCATAGTTTATGCAGCTGTAAGAGTTTGTACACAAAGATGATGAAGATTTTTTCTCAGCTCTGAGAGTTTGTATAGAAGATGACAATGTTCATCATAGTTTATGCAGCTATAAGAGTTTGTACACAAAGATGATCTTGCATAGGTTTATGTACCGGTATGGATTTATTCGGAAAGATGATGAAGATCTTCATCAGTTTATGCAGATGTAAGAGTTTGTACAGAAAGATTCCTTGCAAAGGAATTACACTGGCAACTTGTTCTGTCACCTGGGGTTCAATGCTCCTCGCAGCCCTGCAGGGACAGTAGTATTTATCTACATGCCTGTGATGCTTGGGGCTCTCCAGTGAGTGGTGTTCTCTTCCCCAGGCTGCTGGAAGGCCAGCTCCAGACACAGAGCCGGCAGCACGAGGACGAGCTGGTGGCCCTGCGCACCCAGATCGAGGTCCTGAAGGACGACATCGAGAGGAAGCAGGAGCTGCTCAGCCAGACCCTCTCTCTCTCGCCCGAAGCGCAAGTGGAGTTCAGCATCCAGCAGGAGATCACCCGGCTCACCAACGAGAACCTGGTGCGAACCGTCTCCCCCGTCTCGCCCTTCTGTCTGTCTGCTCTGACCAGTCCCGCGTCCAGCAAGACGAGACGGTCGCCTCATGGAACACAAGTGACAAGTGTGCGCGGCTCGCCTTAACACCTCTGGTTTGCTCCTGGGCTTCTAGGACCTGAAGGAGCTGCTGGAAAAACTGGAGAAGAACGAGAAGAAACTGAAGAAACAGCTGAGGATCTACATGAAGAAGGTCCAGGAGCTGGAAGGTGAGAGAAGTAGCAGTTCATGGGGAGTTTCTGGTGATGATATCAGTCCTTTCACTCACTTCTCCACTTTGTCTGGAGGAGGTCTGTTAAGCTTACGTGTGAGAGAGCAAACAGGGCAGGATTTAAATGGAATTTCAATTTCAAGTGTTATAAATGCATCAAATATATTTTATGTAGTGTCTTTCATGGTACATCATCTCATGGCTCTGTACAGTAAAACAGTCAAACAACAGAATAATACACAAATTTGAAAGGGTACATGAAGCAGAATTCAAAGCTGGGGTATAAAAGTGAGCTTTAGGGCAGGATGTGATACGAGTCGGGAGATCAGCCACAGGCTTGAAGCACCAGAGCATCAGTATGGACTCTTGCTGTCTCCCAGAGCTCAGAGCTTCGAACCATGATTCCAAAGTGCAAAGTGGACAAGGGGTGTGTAGGTACACAGGGGGTGACAAGGGAGTGTAGTCTGGCTTTGACCCACTGTCATTTCATCGGGACAGAGATTTCAGTTCTCTGGAACCCTCTCCCAAGTACTTGCATGTGCTCTCTAAATGAAAAAGAGAGGACTTCTTGATTTTAAAAAGTGCCCGTGCCCCAACCTCAGTCTGCCTCTTTGGTCTGACTGGTGTGCTCCATCTCCTGTCTCCCTCTCCAGTATCCCAGACTTCGGAGAAGACGGAGAGGCCGCGCCATGAGCTCACCCGGCAGGTGACAGTGCAGAGGAAAGACAAGGATTTCGAGGGCATGCTGGAGTACTGCAAGGAGGACGAGGCCCTGCTGGTGAAAATCCTCATCACAGGTACAGTATCCTGGGCTAGAGCTCAGTCTCCACTGCTGCTCGTTAGGAAACTGGTCAAATCCTCATCACAGGTACAGTACAGCCCTGAGCTAGAGTTCAGTCTCCACTGCTGCTCCTTAGGAAACCGGTCAAATCCTCATCAGCGGTTTAGAGGCAAAAGTACTAGGAGAAGCCAACAAGGGAGACAATTTCTTATCCAAGGTGTATTCATGCCCTTGAAGCAGAGAGTTCTGACATCACCACAAAACCCTTTTTTGCACACAAGTAGCGTGAGCCCAGGCTGGACAGTCAGCTGTGCACCAATGAGTAGACACAGCAGTCCTTTGCAAATGGCAAACTGCCATCAATTTCCTATCCCAGGTCCACGAGGAGACCTTTGCAGAACCAGGGATTAGTTTTAACCTGATAAACTGTCTATCAACCAGAATATACAGTATGTAGTTTAACGTGGTGAGTTTCTAGTCTTACACATTCCTTTTAACCAAAAGATAACACAGCATCACCAGTAGAAATGTTTGGTCTTTGACAGTCTTGCAGATGTTCTTAATAGATCATTGATTAGAGCCAAGTGGGACCAGTTGTTTTGTTTTTTATTTTCATAAAAAGAAAAGAATGCTGTAAAGTGTCACATACTGTAAATCGCTCCAGGTCTCTATTTCAAAAGTTGTATGGAATTTTATGTTCAAGGTTTGACTGATACTGCAGTGTGTAACAGACTCTACCTTGTGCTGCAGAAGCTCCAGAGCTGCTCGCATGTTTTCCTGTTTGCATATTATCTGAAAGACAGGTTCAAAATTTGAAGCTTACTGGATTACAGAACATTAAATTATTATCAGTAAAAACTTAATAGTACTTGAGATTGCCAGAGCGTCCTTCACAAGTCTTACCAAACGTATTGTTTTGTTACACATGAAGGATTTGTCTGTGTTCTTTCTAAAACGGTGTGCCCTCGCCACGCTAACTATAAGGAGACTTGGGGCTGTCACTGTGCTCCGTGTTAACAGACATGAAACCGCAGATGGTGTCGGCCACCGTGCCCTGTCTGCCTGCCTACATCCTCTTCATGTGCATTCGACACGCCGACTACATGAACGACGACCAGAAAGTGCACTCCCTGCTCACCTCCACCATCAACGCCATCAAAAAAGTGTTAAAGGTACCGCCCGCACGAGCTGTTTCAAGGCGATGAAGCAAGGAGCTCAGGCAGGTCCCGGTTATCTGTTTTGACAGGTCTGTGGGGCTCGTTTTAAAGTGCGCAGGGCGTGGAATGCTGAAAGCAACACGCAAACGTGGATTGAGGATTGATGCCGAATTCCACATTTAGAGGCTGTTCATGTGGGAGAACAATCTCTCGTTTATATGTGGGGAATCTACCCCAAACTTGGTTCGGTGGAGCACGACGACACAGACTAGACAAGAGGCAAGGTTAGCAGCTTCACAAGGAAAAGTTTATTGCCCTTTAGGTTGCAGGAGTGTACTGTTCACTTGGGAGAGATGGGGGGAGAAAGAGACTGGAGACAGAGAAAGAGGGGGCGCAACGCTACCATATTATGTGTCTAATAATATAGCTGTTCAACTTGTTAAGTGATGAAAGTGGCCCGTTCACAGATCAACCTGGGTCCCCCTGACCCAAGACCTGCACTGTTTCCCTTCTGTCTGAACAGAACTGACAGATGTGTGGTGGTTGTGTTGCTCTTTAAAAAGCCTCAGGTTTCCCGAGCCTGGTCATGACCTCTCCACTGTTTTTCCAGTACTTAGTCGTAACTGAGCTCTTATTTGCATAAACGAAACCTTTACTGAAGTCTTAACATGCCTTATTGCACCTTTTTAAATGGATTGCAGCTGCTGCTACTAGTGATTTCAAGCTGCTGACGGGCATTCCTAACGAACTCGAAATCGGAAACTTGGTTTAGGAGCTGAAACCAAATTAGCGAGTTATATTGTTATTTTAAAAGAGCTGTGCTTAGCAATTGAAAACTCAGCCGTATGGAAAGCCAGAGGTCTCTGGGCTCCCGAGGGTCTGGAGTAAGCATGCCTTCTTCACACCATGCCGGGAGAAAAGGGTGAAGCTTGCGTAGTCGTTATTTCTAAACCTGTGCTGCGCACTGGTGCACTCGCCCCATCTTGCCAGCGTTCTTCCTCGATGTTAGTGAAGAAATAATTCTGCTCATTGAGCCCGCCCATGCATGTCTGAAAGCGCTAATGTGGCGGAACAGCTGCATTTTGTCGGATGAAGACGGAACAATTTGCGCTAATGCTGCATCTAATTTGGCCGGGAGGGAGGGTTGCATAAAAGGCGCGGCAGCCTTAATCTCGGTTGAGTGGATGTGGACTGTGAGAAATGCTCGTGTCCGGCCTTTTTCGGCAGCTCGTCGCTCACATAGGTCTTTTCGCTGTCGTTCACAGAAGCACAATGACGACTTCGAGACGACCTCCTTCTGGCTAGCGAACACGAGCCGTCTGCTGCACTGCCTGAAGCAGTACAGTGGGGATGAGGTGAGGCTGGCAGAAGCGCAGGGGACAGTCACAAGAGGGCGCTAGTGGACAGCACACCAGGCACAATACTACGAGTCCATATCAGGCTTTGTTGAAGTCCTTGCTTTTGTTTTACTGTTTCACAGGAGAAATACAGCTGTGACATTCCTGCCTTGAAAACTAAGCATTGTGAATACCAAGACATTTCAACACTTTTCTCTGTGGTTCTAAATGAGTCCCGGATTCAGACAATAACTAAAAACTTCCACAGATAATGCCTTCGTATAGTTTAATGAAATAAAAACTTACTAGAGTAAAACAAGCAGTCATGGCAAGAATATTCCCCAAAAGCGCAGAGCACTTACATTTTATTGTAAAATGATCGTCCTAAATTATCATATCTAACATGATTGACCCATTCATTCAATTAAAGTAATTGAATAAGAATCAAACCTTAATAAAATGAGTTCAGAAATGGCGTCATTATTATGTGCTGTGCTCTGATTTGCACAGGCTCTGAGCTGGTGCAGGTTAAAGTGTGGGAGTGCTCTAGGCAGCCACCGCAGAACTGATCTCTGTGGCTCAGTTCCAATCCAGTCCTTTCTTTCCCCACCTGGAAGCCGCAAACAGCAGCAGGTGCAGTTTGTCTCACTCACCCTGTCCTCCCTGGCCAGGCCTTCATGACACAGAACTCGTCCAAGCAGAATGAACACTGCCTGAAGAACTTCGACCTGGCGGAGTACAGGCAGGTCCTCAGCGACCTCTCCATTCAGATCTACCAGCAGCTCATCAAGGTGGCAGAGGGCATGATGCACCCCATGATAGGTGAGCTGTTCCCTCTGTCCCCCTCTCACCTCACTCCCTCTCTCACCCTCTGTCCCTCTCCCTCTGTCCCACTCTCTCTCCCTCTATGCCCTCTCTATCACCCCTCTCCCCCTCTGTCCTCCCTCTCTCTCTCCCTCTGTCCTCCTCTCTCTCTCTCTCTCTCTGCCACCCCCCTCCCTCTGTCCCTCCTCTCCCCCCCCCCCTCGCTGTCCCCTGGATCAGTATTATTCCTTCTGTGTTGTAAACACAAACACAGGTTTGATTTTGGTTCAGATTGTTGTGCCATGCGCATCTGATACACTGGAAATCTCTCCCTTGGAACCTATTTTTTAAATTATCTTTAAAATTTAGCTCAGACCCTGCGTACTCAGAGTTGCTGCGTGAATCCACTTTGATTTGTGATATCACAAATTTACACCAAAAAAATGGAGGAATTCTTTTTTAAGTGCACCCATGAATAAAAGCTAAACTGCGTCCGGATCTGTAATTAGAAAGTGCTTCGTTGTGAAAAGAGGGTTGATTGCAGGCATCAGTGGTTAATGCCACTGCAGGGGCAGGAGCAGGACAGCAGGGTGACCCGGAGGCAGCTGTCCCCTGTCTCTGACGGAACTCTGTGGGTTTTCAGTGTCGGCGATGCTGGAGAGCGAGAGCATCCCCAGCCTGGCCGGCGTGAAGCCGATGGGCTATCGCCACCGCTCGTCCAGCATGGACGGGGACAGCTACTCCCTGGAGGGGCTGATCCGCCAGCTGGGCATCATCCAGGGCACCATGTGTGACCACGGCCTGGACCCCGAGATCATCCGGCAGGTCTTCAAGCAGCTCTTCTACATGATCAACGCCGTCACGCTCAACAACCTGCTGCTCAGGAAGGACGTGTGCTCCTGGAGCACAGGCATGCAGCTCAGGTAATTTCATTGCACTACGTTTTCATACTTTTATTCTGCTCGTCTTTTATGTTTACTTATCTTTTTTGAAACCAGAAGGTGCATCCAATTGACACCACTATTTTCAGTATTTTTTTTACTGAAAAGCACCTCCATGATTTCTGGATGCATGCTCATTTACTCCTTTTTCTATTCTGCTTATAACATGCTTTTATGTTGTTTTGTCATAGTCTTCCATACTTGGTTTGTATAATGCATTACCATTCTTCTCTGTGCTTGACTGCTAATGAAGCTGCAGCCCAGAGAATCATGAAGTCTCTTGATAATGAATGAAAATGATGAGAATCATAAATGCTGTCTAATCTTCTT